TGGAGCAAACTTCATTCACATATGATCGAGAGTTGGAAGTGAATGGATGGTCAAAAACTAACCGGACGCTAGTTCCGGGTTGACCGGACGCTCGCGCAGAGTCCGGTCAGTTCATTTGACCAAGGTGATTGCGTCTGGTTTGACCGGACGCTGAGAGGTCAAGTGACCGGACGCTGAGAGGCAGCGTCCGGTCGACTCCAGTAAGGTTCCAGAGAGGGAAAATCACGACCGGACGCGTCCGGTCAGTGCTGATCGGACGCTGCCCAGCGTCTGTTCACACTGTAATCACTGGAGTTCGGGGTGTACTGACCGGAGCGTCCGGTCAACATGACCGGAGCGTCCGGTCACCCCGCAGAGGCACATAATGGTTCGTTTTTTAGCCAATGTTATAAATACTCCATCCACTTGTGTGTGGGGGTACTTTTGCTCATTCCAACAGCTGAGAAACACGTTTGAGAGTGCCAAGAAGAGAAAGGTCCTAGTGAGGTGATTGAGATTTGAGAATCCCAAAGAGAGCCCTCATTTGTGAGATCAAGAGTAGCAAAGTGTGCATCCACCCTTCTCATTAGGCTTGTCGTGGTCAAGTGAGAGTTCGTGCTTGTTACTCTTGGTGATCGCCATCACCTAGACGGCCTGGTGGTGATTGAGAGCTTGGTGATCATCCAGAGAGCTTGTGGATGACCCAACTCAAGTTATGAGCGGTTGTGGATGATTCACCGCGACGGAGTGTCGAAGAATCAACCCGTAGAGAGCACTTGATCCTTGCGCGGATCAAGGGGGAGCTACACCCTTGCGCGGGTGCTCCAACGAGGACTAGTGGGGAGTGGCGACTCTCCGATACCTCAACAAAACATCGCCGCGTTTCTTCTCATCTCTTTACTTTGTGCATTTACTTTGAGCAATTCAATTCTTGTCATTTACATTCATAGAATTGCCATGCTAGAGTAGGATTGGACCTTAGGTTGCTAAACTTTTGTGCGTTAGTTCAATAGAAACACTTTCTAGGCACAAGGGGTTAATTGGGCTAACCGTAGAACTTATTTATTGCGAAGAAATTTAGAATTAGCCCAATTCACTCCCCCTCTTGGGCATCTTGATCCTTTCAGAGGCAACGGAGCTCCACGGCCACCATCGAAGGATGACGACAAGGTGCGAGCGGCCGTGGTGCCTCCTCCACCGCCACTGCGAGCCGCACGTAAGCTGAGAGTACGACTGCCGCTGCAGACGCCAAAATGGGATGGGGACCCATGCCGCCGCCGGTGCCTCCACCTTGTGGGCTGGAGCGAAGGAGGTCCTCATAGCCTGCCATTCCGGGCCACTCTTGGCCATGGGAGTTGAGGTCGAGCGCCACCATGCCTGCCTGGGGAGCATTGACGCTGCTCGATCCCGAAAAGGGATAAGCCACGTCATTGATGTTCTCGTAGCCGTTGGTGGGGGAGAACGGATTAGGTTGGGAGAAGAAGTCCCTAGTGCGGTCGCCATCGCCGTTCCCATTGCCGTCGTTGTAGCCGTCAACGTTGTAGCCGTACATCAGCGAGGCCGCGGAAGAGGACCTGGCTCAGGGCGGCGACGTAGGAAGAGCTAGATCTAGGGCCCAAGGAGGAGGAGCTAGATCTGGGGGCCATGGAGGAGGAGCTGGATCTGGTCGGCCATGGAGGCTCAGAGCGAGAGCGGCAGCGGCGGCTGAGGCGGCGTGTGAGAGCGAGAGCGGCGGGCGAAGCTAGGGTTTGCACGGAGGGAGAGAGCGAGAGCGGTGGGGAGTGACTGCGGGGGAATGGATAGGGTCTGAGCGGCGGGGTGGGTGGGTGTAGGGGTATTGAGCGTCCGGCTCTCCCCCACGTGTTTTTTTACAAGTTTTGGGCCTCTTGGGTCCCAAATGCTAAAAGTTTTGAAGCCCCAGTTTTGCTCTTTTGGGTACATGGTGTTTAGATCCATTTTACAAAAAGATAGGCTAAAACACCAAAACTTTTGGTAAAATTGGGGAACTAAACACCCCCTAAAGATTTACCAATGCATGATCTTTGTTCCTTCATCAGTAGATTTAAAGCTGATGGTGCCTTGAGTGGGAAGTTATTCTGATTCAAAAGCCGGTTCATGGTTTCGTCGTGACATCTCGTCAGAAATTAAAAGCAAAACCAAAACCGCAGAGGAAAAAGCACAAGCGCGTCACCACGTGGTTGGGGCCAGACCCCTGACCCCACCGCACCCTCTGTATCTCCAGTTCCCCAGGGGCCATGGCCCCACCTACTGGCCGCGTCAACCTCCCTCCTCCCGTCCTCTAGGCGTGTGTGGGGGATAGACCCCCAGGTACCACAAGATGGTACATGGGCCGCACCATCCGAGGTGGCCCGGCCCGTGAGATCAAGGCGTGCCCGGCGCTGCTTGGCGTGCACCGCAAGACATTGTAATAGTACCAAATATGATACTTTACTTGTAACCTTGTCCCTTCGGAGTATATAAGGAGGGGCAAGGGTCCTCTAGAGGACAGATCCAAATAGGTTAATCTGTATACATCTCAATACAATACACCAAAGACACAGGACGTAGGGTATTACGTCGACCAGACGGCCCGAACCTGTCTAAATCGCTGTCTCTGCGCCTTGTGTCACCATCTGGTTCCTGATTACACGCACCGTCTACCGATAATCTACCACCACGGGCACCCCCCTCGGTGGACTGCCGACCATATTTCGTCGACAGTGGCGCGCCAGGTAGGGGTCCCCTTTAGGGGATCGTGTGCGCTGATCTATAGCGAACCAGATGGAATCTCAAAGTCAGCATCACGTTCTCGGTAGGATCGTTCTTTGATTCTGTACAAGAATTTCTTCATCGTCGTCATCTGCGGGGATTCGGTTCCTCGCACACGCCGACCTGCAGATCACCAACTCAAGGCTTAGTCCGATTCTGTGGGCAATCTGCCTCAATCAAGTTCGATCCCAGCATCCAGTCTCCGCCGACTCCAAGGCTGATCGAGTACGACTCCAAGTAGGCAAGCAAGACCATGTCTGAATCCTCAACTAACGAGCAAATAAGGAAGGAGCCGAACGACAACAAGCCAATCCAATTAATCTCCTGGAACACGTCCCACAAAAGAGTCCTACTCCGATTCGATCTGCATGATGATTAATTGCCATCATGTGCCCCAACGCACAGTAGCAAGAGCACATCGATCGAAGGACAATGCAAGATAAACGTGTGATCTACAGAGCCGTGCAAAGATAATTAAAGTAATCAAGAGCCGATCCGCATGCAAGCACGAACAATTACATGGCCAAGCAAGCAAACAAAGCAAGGCGTATCAAGCTACAACTCCATGCAAGATATGACGTCAAGTACTAGTTATGCACAACCATACAAGAGAACGAACCCAGCATCCGTGCTGCCGGAGGGTGACCTCCCTATTCCAGACGAACAGAAGAAGCAAGCTTTTCAAGTTCGACCGAAATTCATCCACGAGAACTAAGTGCTCCGACGGCATCAAGCCAAGCGAGCCGCTGAGCGAGCCACGTCGACCACGTCCCGAGCAGCTCCGCCGAGCTCCGACCACGTCGACCGCGACCACGTCCCGAGCAGCTCCGTCGAGCTCCGACCACGTCGACCACGACCACGTCCCGAGCAGCTCCACCGAGCTCCGACCACGTCGACCACGGACCGCGTCGACCACGTCCCGAGCAGCTCCGCCGAGCTCCGACCACCTCGACCACAAGACTACGTCGCAATGATGATCGCCGCGAAGAACGGCGCTACGACAATCGCGACCACAGTCATGACGACAGGTTGAAAAGCTTGAGGACCGGACAACTTCATCGCCAACGACACGTCAAGCCATCTCTCGAACATCGCAACACGTCGACTACACCCACCGGCCGTCAATAAAGCTAAGTATTTAGAACGCTCACTAACTGACATAGCATCACATCTCAGTATTTAGAATGGTTAACTGAAAAATGATTTAGCTGTCAAATTTCAACTGTGGAAAATGTCAATTAGTCTCTAGTCACTACTTGTAGTTTGATACAGCTGCATAAATTCAGTAATTTGGCACGTAAATCCATCTGAACTATGGCAGAAAAAAAGAAGGTGAAATGATACTGGAGACTGTTAGTAGTACTAGGAAATTGGGAGGGTCACTCCTCTTACTGAAATACATTTCAGCAAATTAACTCTGCTATTCGATGATACCGCCATCCACAACCATATATATATGATTATTATCAGAACCACCTGAGATACAAAACTACCCAAAATCTTACAATACTATTGTATGGCAACAATGAATCAATCTATCCAGGGTCGCAGCACTCGTCACATTCAATTTCCAGGGAAAATCAATCAGAGGAACGAATTCTTACTACTAACAAGTCCCAAGGAAGAGTAGGAAGGCGTGGCGTACAGGGCCATGCGCCATACCTGGTTCAAGAGGTCGGCGTGACTGCACATGTCGATGCGGTGCCACAGCGAGGGGTCGTCCCGCGCGGCGCGGCGCCAGGAGCGGCATGCCTGGCCGGCGCTCATCAGTATCTCGACGTGGTCGAGCTTGTGGAAATGCGGGGGACGGCTGAGATCGCGTCCAGCAGCAGGTTCTCCCTGTTCCTCCTGTTGCGGTCGCTCCCATGGCCCTAGCCACGGCCGCAACGGAGGCGGGAGGAGGAGGGCATGCCAGCCGCTGCCTTTGGTCTCGCTCAGGCTTGGGGCTCGGCATCTCGCTTTTGTCAGAAGAATCCTCGGCCCGGCGGGCTGGGCACGGTGAACCATCTACGCGGGCCGAGGAGCCTCACCGTCGCGCCGCTGGCCATCCGTGCTGCCCGTGCTTCGTCGCACCGCAGCCCCGCGCGCCGTAGCGCGCGTCCGCGCAGCCCTCGCTCCACCGTGACGCAGCCTGTCCGCGGCTCCCCGTGCTGCCGCCGTCCTCGGACCTCCGGCGGCGTGTGGCAGAGCAGAACGACCCGGTGGCGCGGCAAGCCCCAGTTGTCGTCGAGCCTCGGGCGAGAGCAGGGACGATGGAGGCGGTACCGCATGGGGAGGCAGCTGCTGGCGGCGCAGCAGTCCGAGGCTGAGGGGGCGAGTTGAGTGGGTTTGGGATCATTCATGACGCCCGGTTGCGTGGCTTAACGGGTAGGAGACCCGCGAAGACCACGATCGGACGTTTGGCATCGTTTGTTCGCCGGATCGGACGGTCAGCAGGCTAACGGGCGATGTGGCGCGATCTGCTGGCCCGGTTTTTGGTGCAGGATTCGTAAAGTAAAAGATAGGGAAAACAGATGGGCTGTATAAGTTCAGTACATGCTATGTATATAATGACATTTGTAACCTTTTGTATCTTATCATACAGTCCGCGTTTGAATAAATTGGTTGGAAATTACAAGATGCTAGAGGAAAGATTTCGCAAAAAGGAACCTCAACTTCATTTGCTCTTATCATTGATGGCAATGCTCTGACACATGCTCTCACGGGCAGCCTTAAGAATCCATTTCTGGATCTAGCAGTTAACTGTGCATCTGTTTTATGTTGTCGGGTTTCACCAAAACAAAAGGCCCTGGTGAGTAACAAGATAATTCATCTGTTTGACTATTCCTTAATAAGCTTATGCCGGCATTTTATTTATCCATAATAGTGAACACTAGTTTGCAGCTTCTATAGCTACTGGGTACTGTTGCAGGTCACCAGGTTGGTTAAAATTAGGACAAGTAAAACTACTTTAGCTATTGGCGATGGAGCAAATGATGTTGGTATGCTACAAGAGGCTGACATTGGGGTTGGAATAAGTGGCGCTGAAGGAATGCAGGTCGATAGTTTTGCGCACTACTTTCATTTTTGGATTTGTCACTTAACCTGTTGTTATGAATCTTGACTATGCTTTGATTCTTGAAATGGACGAAAAAGATCTACAATTGTAATTTATCAAGTTTTTATTTGCAATATTTAGCCAAATTACTCGCTTGAAAGTCATGTTGGATGGAAGTTTTAGCTTCCTCATGAAGTTTGTTCCGTACTGTATTTTAGGACAGAATGACTGATCATGTGATAGGACTTTGCAACTGATGATCAGTTGGTTAAATATCTTGATGACCAATTGACCTCGTGAAAAGAGCTTTTACCCAAGCTAGCTTCATCAATGTTTCAAAAAGCACGGTGCGCTAGGCAGGTGGTTAGGCTCTCCTAGCACCTGGGCGGCAGGTGGTTAGGCTCTCCTAGCACCTGGGCGTTCGTAGGCAATTTTACTTTTTCTGCTTAGCTAGAGGAATGCCTCATTGAATAGAAAAATATGGCATATTACAACGACAATATTGGTATACTGCATGCATCCATGAGTTTTATGATCACAATTTATCTTCTTCTCTCTCTCTCTAATGTTCCACTTTAATACATAGATCGAGTTCTAAGCCACTCCTGGTGAAAAAACACCTAGGTGCTAAGCAACATGCTGCTGCTCTGCCTAGTACAACATTTTGGAACAGAAACCTCATGCCTTTTTCTCTTTTGGTTTTTGTATCTGCTTTATGTTATCTAACAACTGATGGTGCTTTGTATTACAGGCTGTTATGGCGAGTGACTTTGCAATAGCACAGTTTCGTTTCTTAGAGCGATTACTTCTTGTGCATGGTCATTGGTGTTATCGTCGAATTGCAGCTATGGTAAAGCACTGCCCCCTCTGCTTCTTGAACTCTTCAGTTAACTAGTCCCTCCAGTCTCATTTTCTTCTCCTTTAGGGCATCGACATAGTTTCTGGGACTGAGCTTTATTCACTTTTATTATTGTGTTGCCCTAATGATATGTTTTATTCTATGGATATATAAGCACTCTTCATACTGGATATACTAATATGGTTTTAATGCTAAAAATCAAATACTTGTATCTCCTAAACAATTTCCTTGCAATATGATCATGCCTCTTCATTTTTTCCTTTTACCTCCCGAAAGAATATTACTTGTGCCATTTTGATACACCAGATATCAACCTTCCCTTGGCATGCAATAATATGCCTAACTTTCCAATGTTTTTTTTGTATTATTTAGCACTAAGTAGCAAATTTGGTGTTCTTGTCGAGCTCTGTTAGTTTAGTTCTTGCATTGTATAACAGTCTGCATTTTGTTTGTGATATGGACAGATATGCTATTTTTTCTTCAAGAACATCACATTTGGCTTTACGCTTTTCTGGTTTGAGGCTCATGCTATGTTCTCAGCACAACCTGCGTACAATGATTGGTTCATATCTTTCTATAGCGTTGCCTTCACATCTCTTCCTGTCATCGCCCTAGGTGTTTTTGACAAGGATGTCTCTTCCCGTGTTTGTCTTGAGGTTTGTAACCTATCAGATTCATATGTAATGCTGTGATATATATGTGAACTTTGGTCTTTGAGTCAGCGTTTATAGCATTGCATTGGTTGATTTCTTTTTGTTTCTATAAATCACACCTTTTGTTCCCTTGCATATCATAGGTCCCTTCATTACATCAAGATGGTGTTAATAATGTGTTCTTCAGTTGGTCTCGAATACTCAGTTGGATGTTAAATGGGATGTGCTGTTCAATAATTATTTACTTTGGTTCCCTCAACGCTATTCTAGTTCAGGCTGTCCGACAGGATGGTCGCGTTGCTGGGTTTGACATCCTTGGGGTGACCATGTACAGTTGTGTAGTGTGGACTGTGAACTGCCAGCTAGCTCTCTACATCAGCTACTTCACCTGGATACAGCATTTTGTCATCTGGGGCAGCATACTGATCTGGTACACTTTCCTGGTCATCTATGGACTATTTTCCCCAGCAATATCAGCCACTGCATATCATGTTTTTGTGGAAGCTTGTGCACCTAGCCCTTTGTACTGGTTATCTACTCTAATGATTGTGGTGACAGCCTTGATCCCATTCTTTGTCTACAAAATATCGAGAACACTGTATTACCCACAGTATCATGATCAAGTTCAGAGGGCTAACTCAAAGAATTGGTAGTGCCAGTTGTATAAGATGCTACTGAATGATGGTATGTACAGTCGGTAATTTGGTGTAACATACGGCATGATTTGCTTTCTAGATCATGATGTCAGAGGTAGTGTATATAAACAAGTTGGCTGTTTAACAGATCTTGTATATACGGTTTATGCCCACAAAGTTACAGATTCAGGTTATGGCAGTGTATCATCTGTCAAATATCAGAACACAACGGTGACTTCTCAGTCATGCGGAAGGAACTGCAAGGGGCAAATTGGTTCTTCGGATCTATGACCCCACTAGGACACATTTTTCTTTTGTTGTGGATGGGGCTCATCATGGAAGCAGATTGCAATTAGGATTTACATAGAATGATGTATAGCATGTCTGTAACTGCGAATATGAGTTCCTTAATGTATGTAGTATTGTTCTAGGAAATTTAGCGATCTTGTAGCATCAAACTGTCAAATCTATGTTCTTGGAAGCATAGTTAATACCCTTTATTGCTCCAATGGTGCATGGCTTGTATAGTTATGTATTCAGGCATCTCCAGTTCCATGCCATTTTCTTAGGATCATTCATTCCTGATACTGCTCTTTTTAGAACAATTACTTGTCTAAAGGGCGTGCACCAAAGGCAGAGCTCCGCTTTCTGTCACGGGTCCAAGGGAAGGTGTCGATGGCAAGCCTTACCCTCGCCTCATGCAATGTGAGGAGACCGCAACTCGAACCCGGGACCGCTGTCTACATGCCATTTTTCAGTGGAAGCATTGTTCAACAGTCCACATACGGATTTACTGCATGCTATTATTACGATTGTTTTAGAGTCCAAGTACTAGTCTGGTATATTGGTTTGATCAAGCTTTTGAATTTTGATGTGATTTGGTTGTGGTGACATGAGATCTCCCAGATTATACATTAGGCTGAGATTCTTACTTTATTTCTTCCAGTTGCTCAACTTTTGTCTCTATAAGCAGGCAATTTTGCATGCTTGGATATCAGACTCTTTTAAGTATTTTTTTTTGAAGGGCCACTGAAAGGATTGAATGTCTCAAAAGAGATGTATTAGTCTCTAAAATTTAAAACAACAACATTAGACTAATTAAAACTATTTCACTCCACCTGCATGGCTTACCGTAGAGTTAAAAAAGAACATTAAGATGAGTCCTTAGGGTCAACAAATTAAGTCATGTCCTTAGCAAGATCAACATTGGCTTTAATTGCAAAAATTGAATCTAACCACTAGGGATCTCACTTGCACAAGATCAATCCCAGTTGTTATCAAAGACATCAAGCATACAAAGATCAACAAGAAAGTACAGTAAGTGTGAGAAGTAAAATAAACAAAGACAGTTGGATCTCTTTCGTGGAGGTTATTACCACAATCCCCTATTTCATGTTGGAGAACCCACTAAAAGCTAAGCTCCTTTTATACACAAAGGTATAAACTCCACTATGAATAACCATTTTCCACTTTGGATTGACAGGTCTCAAACTAGGTGCACTTGTAGCTCTTCATGGATCAAGATGCCCAGGGGGTTGAATTGGACTAATTTAAAATTCTGGCACAATTAAAACCTACCGTTTAATCCATTTCACTAAAATGCCTCAAAGTGTGTTTCTAGCCTACCGCACAGTTAGAATAGCCTTGATCCTATTCCAATGACTGTGGTGACAGCCTTGAATCCCATTCCAATGCAGTGAACACATGCTAACGAACTGGCTTGGCTTGTTCGTGTGAATATGAAGGGAAGCTAATTTGGCACTGATTTTCCCCCTCCCTTTTTGTCACAACATAAATACGTAGGCCTTTTTCATAGGGATTACATTCTACCCCCCAATCAGTCAAATTTGACTGATTATGTCACTCCGCATTACTAAAATGGACAGTTGCATTCTATTAAAATGAGCTTTGGCACTTCTCATTTTCATCATTGCATTAAAAGAACATCAATTGTTTAGGTTCAAAGTCAAAATGTGAAAAATATCGCCCTCAAAAAGTGTAAAAAATATGAGAGAAGAACCATTATTTTGTATACTTTGCCTCATGACAACACTCCGAAAGATAAATAGCTGCCCTTCCTTTAGACTTACTTTCTTATCTAAGGCCAACCTTCGTATGGTTCAAATCCCTTGCAACTCTTTTCTTCTAAAATAATGCTTTCCAACCGTTTATTAGAAGGAAATCTATGACATTTCACAATTATATGAAGCCAATAAACAAACAAAAGATCCATGGGTATTTGAACCGGAGTACATGGGAAATGGCAAAATACTTAATGGAACAACTTATTCGTCAACGGTTGGATACTTGATATACGACGGTATGTACTCGGCCAACCATTGCACATAATACCCTAAATCCTAGACCTTGATAAGTGAGCAGTGGATGACCTAGCTTCACCTAGGTAATGTGCTAGAGCACTTTTGCACGTGGGTCTGGGGGGGGGGCTATATATCTATGGTAGGTGGCCCAGTTGTCTCACCCCGCTGCACGGGTCTCCACCTCTGTTAGAGCAAGACTAATAATACAGCTGGTTGCCGGCTGTAAGGATCTTTGCAGCCTTCTCTCAACCCACCTATATAGTAGTAAGCTCTTCACTGTTAATACATGGCCCACTTGTCTATCTCACAAAGTTTCTCGGTTCTTGTGTCTAAGCCGGCTGCAAGCTTACAGTCCGCTTCTCTTCTCTCTCCTCCACCTCAGCATTCAGCCGGCTTATAGCCTGCTATTATACTTGCTCTTAGGAAGTATGCGCTTGATGGGAGATGGATAAGTGGACCTATTCATAGGATTGGCCACTGTCCATAGTGCTAGCATATTCAACTCTGAATTAGATGCTCCCCATAGAGTTTAATTTTGACATGCAAGTTATCCACCTCAGCAGTCTACTATCACATGCAATTCAATCTCAATATGCAAGATGTCCACCTCAGCAATACACTATTAGATGCAACTATAACCCGCTAGCATATGCAATTACGGTATACACATCAGCAAGGCACGTCATCCAGTACCATGTGTTTAGTTGTTCACATCAGCATTGTCACATCATTGACTAACATTAATTTATAATTATTTATCCCTTTGTATAAGTAATTATATGTAGCATAATTTTATTCCAAAGCATTAGCAATTTCCACGCGCAGTGTGCTTCTAGTATAATCAAAAGCTATGTACACATGTAGCTGGAACACATAGGAGTTTAGTAGATGTTCATGCAGGTAATGGCCTAATGGGATATTGTACATTGATTGGGCCAAAATTTAGACTACATGTATTGCCTACCAAGATTTATACACCATATATATATCTACAATTTAATTTTGTGACATGGATTCTAACACAGAAGGTAGCTAATAATAACGTGTGAATTCTAAGTTTGACCGTTGTCATACCTCCCTTAAATATGATTGTTGATATGCCAAGTTTATTATTTTCTTTGCATAGAAAGTTTATAACTTAGTGACTTCAATCAAAGAAAAAAAAAAGTCAATAACTCAATGAAGGTAGATACTGATGCTGAACCATAGAGGTCCAAGAGAAGGCCCGATATCAAGCTATCCATATAGTACACAAAAATTAGGTCGACGCATTTTGCTACGCAAATGACAGTGGCTACTTACAGAGCCACGCTCTTTTGATGCTGCATGTGCATAAAAAGCCTTGCATCGAAGCGTGCGAGGGACAGTACATGCTTATCCATCTCGCAGGGAGAATGTTGTTGGCCCATTTGGTAATAAATCCAGCCCACCAAAACGACCCAACACTTAGGGCCAAGTGTTGTTGGCCCATTTGGCAATAGATCCAGCCCACCAAAACGATTGGCAGGTGCCGCCGACACAAAGCCACACGTATGTAGAGAGCAGATACGGAATCATAATACGGAGCCACGCGTCAGAGCACTCTTGACAACGAATGGATATGGTTTCCCTGGACGCGAATTCTCCGACGAGTATAGATTTTAATATTTAATATGACTAGAACATAAAATTTAATAGTCCACCCATCTGAAAAATAATGCAACTGTAGCATAGCATGAGTCAAAAAATCTTAAGTTTGATTAAATAAATGTAAAAAGTATCAATATTTGTGATGTTAAATAAGTGCCATCAAAAGTATATTTACTTAGTGTCATAAATACTGAAATTTAGTCAAACTTAGATAGTTTGATTAGGGATGAAACTTGAATTGTATTTTTTCAGAACCAAGATAAAGAAAGCAAAGTTTATCCTAAATATAAAAAAATTAAGTTTATTATAGGTTTACTCAAATGGTAATGCTCCTGTTCGGTTGTTCGTCCATCCGGATAGACCCTGCCTGCGCCGCTCGCTTGCGGAACGGACCCCGCCCGTGCAGCCCCGTCCGCATCGTCCGCTTGATTTGTGGCGTCTGCGCGTGCTGCATGCCCTCGCTCGCGCCACGGATCTAGCCCTCCCCCACGCCACCCCTGCTCGCGCCACGGATCTCGCCCTCCACCGCGCCGCCCCAGTCCGTACTCGCACATCCCATTGTGGTCGCGCTCCATCCGCCTGCCGCGGCCCCTATTAAGGTCTGTGCCGCTGACCGACGACCTCCGTGCCACTCCGTAGCATCGAGCTCCACGTCGGCGTCGAGGTCTGCGTCGACGAGCCTCCATTTTCGTCCAAGCAACAAGTAGATGTTGTGCTTAAAAGCGCATGTTGCAAGCGTCTGTTCAAGTGTTTCAGATTTTTCAGAGATACGTTGCAAGTGTTTCATATGGATGTTGCAAAAGATCGAGATGTTGCATATATTGCAATGGTTGTACACGTATGTTGCAAGCTTTTTGTTACCGATGTTTCGTCTGTTTTTTCATACATATGTTGCAATTGTGCTTATCTAGATGTTGCATATGTTTTACACATATGTTTGCAAGTATTTTTATCGGGATGTTGCTTATGTTTTTTTTGCAATGGTTTGAAGTGTTTTAGGTGTTTTCATAAATGTTTCAGATGCATGTTTCAAGTGTTTTATCTACCTTCAGACATATGTTGTAAGTGTTGTATCTGAATGTTTTAAAAGTAGATTGGGTGTTGCATCTCTCTCTTCGCCTTCTCCTACCTCACCTCAGTGTCTCCTCCTCCAGGCGTTGATTGGGCATCCGCCGCCTCCTCCTCCTCTTTTTGATGCTGGTGACTACTGGGCGGCGCGAGCCTCATGTGGACACGCGAAACAACGTGGGAAAATGACTGCAGGCGCGGACGCCCGTATGCCCCATCCGTTCGGACGTCCCGTTATTCAAATCATATACTCTTATAAAGCTAAACTCCATTAGAGATTTTTATCTCAACATGCAGGCTATCCACATCAATAATCCACTGAACTTGCAATTATCTATATTCTTATAAAGTTAAACCCCATTAGAGATTTATCTCAACATGCAAGCTATCCACATCAACAATCCACTAAACATGCAATTATAGCCAACTAGCACATGTAATTATGATAGTTATCTCTTCGTCTACTAATATGCATTTAGTTGTCCACATCGATGTGTCAAACCATTCATCAAAACCAATTTAAGATAGTTTCATTCATATAGCTATAAATATAAATAGTCTACTTTTTTAAAAATTATCTTAATTCCCACGTCAACACACGAGATATTCTCCTGGTTCATAGAAATATAAGTTTAACCTAACACCTGTCACTATTTTTCCGCTTTGGCAAGAACGAGAAGAGAGCCCCGCACTGGTGTGCTGCGCCACGTCAGACGTCACGCAAAGCGAACTGGACGGAGGCGTGGCCGCCACTGCTCCTCCCTCGCGCGCAAACTTCCAAACAGCTCCAGTTGCTTTCAGTTTTGGTTCCGTTCCACACACTTCCCATCCCCGCACGCCCACTCCACTCCGCCTCTGATCCCGTGCCGGGTGCCGCCATTTCCCGTGCGCCCACCAACCGCCGCCCCGCCGCCGACGCGATCCCCATCACGCGCCGCCCATGGCGCCCCACCTACTCACCCCACCGGCCCTCACCATTACGGGCGCCGCCGCCCCAGGCCGCCTCGGCGGCGCCGGATCGGCGGACCCGCGAGCGCCCAGGCCACGCGCGCCGTCGCGCACCTTCTTCTGCTCCTCCCCCGGCAGAGCGCGGCGGGGGCTCAGGAGGAGGAAGGGCTTGAGCGTCGCGGCGGCGGCGGCGGAAGGAGCGGAGCCGGGTGGGCCCGCGGGGCCGATGCGGCTCAACGAGTACATGGTCGCTGTGGACCGGCCCCTCGGCGTCCGCTTCGCCCTCGGCGTCGACGGACGCGTCTTCGTCCACTCCCTCAGGAAAGGGGTAAGTGACTAAGCGGGGAACGAGCAATGGGAAGGGAGTCCTTCCCAGGTGGGCGGGGTTTAAGGACCTTCAATTGGCGAGTGACTGACTGACATAGTGACATCCGGTTGCTGCATGTGGTGATGCGTGTCAGGGGAACGCCGAGAAGTCCAGGATCATCATGGTCGGCGACACGCTCAAGAAGGCGGGCGGCGACGGCGAAGGCCTCGTCACCATCAAAGACCTAGGTGACACGGAGTACGGCTCCAGTATTGTCGTTATGTTTCACTCATCCAAAGACTAGCGTCTCTATGAAATTTTAGTGAGCCATCCCATCTCTGTCGATTTTGGTCGTGTGTCATATATAAGATTACTTATTATGATCGGAAGTGGCTTTCCTGGTTATGTTAGAGTTTTTTTTTACCTCTTCTGTTTGAACTCTGAATATTTTATACCCTGGTCTAGTGAAATTCCTACGTTCAAAATAAGTCTTAAAATAGACTTGTAACTAATAATTTCTGGACTATTCGTCAAGCTTAGTAATTATTCAATGGCTCAAATGAAATGGTTCTGTGTTAGGGTAATAGTTCTTGGCATACAACAGTACTTTGATGCACTGAACAAAGAAGTTTCAGCTCTGCTTTCCCAGACATTGAAGTGCACATATACTTAGTAGTGTAGCAGTTGGCGATTTTAAAATGAGCCTTAAACTTCTTAATTGCTTGACAAAGTGTTACCCAATAGTCCAATACCCATTGGAGCACCACCTTCCTCAAAGTTAAGATACCAGCAATCTAGCAGTTCAATTAACACGATTTATTTCCCTTAAAAATTCAAGAACGTTGGATGGAACTACTGCATGGTAATGCTTCATTCATATGTTCTCTTTAACTTGTATCCAGAATTGCGCTGAGGGACAAGTCAGCATGCAGCCTTGTCCTTGAGAGACCATTTGCTCCTTTTCCAATCCATCAGTTGCATCAAAATGAAGATTACCACATTCTATTTAACAGAGGGCGGGCTGCTGTTGCCTCGTGGAATAGTGCTGTTTGGTCCACAAAGCTGAATGGATCGTCTACTGGGGATGGAAAATGTGGTTTTGCTGTATTCTCCTCAAGGTTGCTAAGTTCTCAAGGATGGGCTCTTCTGTCTAACGAGAAAGGTGGACTCAATCAGAGTAGCACTAACCTTGCCAATCGCATAAGTGAGATTGTTGGTTTATATTCTGATGAAGACGATGTCAATGCTGAGTGGGCACATGGTAGCTTTCCTTTGGAGGAGTACATTAAAGCACTAGACCGTGCTAAGGGTGAACTGTACTATAATCATTCACTGGGTATGCAGTATAGTAAGGTACTGGAAGACTGCTTCTGTTAATTTTCTTAGACATGTACATCCATAAAGGGTGTGTCAATACTATGTGTGCTTTCAAGAGCTGAGGACTACTTATCAATATATACCAATAACCATGGCGCTTGTTTTACACAAATATTCGCAGATAACAGAACAAATATTTGTTGGGTCATGTATACAAACAGAGAAAGATGTGAAGATGTTATCAGAAACTATGGTATGATCCTGACATATGCTGCAAGCTTGTCTGATTAGTGCTTTTTGCTTACATTTGTTGCATTCCATTTATACTTCCATTTATGTTACAATTCAGTTAAGTTTCTGATACTTCAAAAGGCTTCAGGGTATCACTGCTGTTCTGAATTTCCAAAGTGAAAGTGAGCGCATTAACTGGGGAATCAATTCTGAGGCAATCAACAGTTCTTGTCGTGAGAATAACATCTTGATGGTTAACTATCCTATACGGTATGCTGTAATTCCTCCATCTAGAAGATAAACTTTAGAATGTTTGATTCTAGTTCTTCACTATAGTTATATTGAACCAGCTGTAGCTTCCTTATCCTGTGACAAACAAGACTAGAATTTATGTAGGTTCGAATTGTCATTTATTTGTAGAGCGATGTCGGTGATACTTTGGCTACTGTAGTTGTGTACTTGATATTCGGTGTGTACTATTTGTTGTTGTGTGGATTAATGTTCTAAGCGCTTTATGTCTCATTAGGCTGTTATAAGCTCAGCTCATCCTACTTCACCCTAGTAGTTATCTGAACAAAAAGGATCTCTATGAATTGTTGGTGAAATCTTTACTTAGTTTTGCAGACGTCATAGGCTTGCTAACCTTACTATCATCTGATTGTCATTTAACTACTGATGCTGGATGTTTTCAGAGAGGTTGATTCCTTGGACCTAAGAAAGAAGCTTCCTTTCTGTGTCGGTCTTCTGTTGCGTCTTATAAGGAAGAACTACCGTATCTATGTGACTTGTACCACTGGATATGATAGATCACCAGCATGCGTGATATCATACTTACACTGGGTTCAAGATACACCTCTCCTTATTGCTCACAAGTTCATCACTGGTTTGCACTCTTGTAGACCTGACAGGTAATTATGGTTGAGCAACATTATATTAGTCGTTCTGTTTGATGCTAAATCAAAGAGGACCCTGTTTATTGTGACTGCTGAGAACAAAAAAATTGTTTAATGATGCAGAGCTGCAATTGTTTGGGCAACTTGGGATCTTATTGCTTTAGTTGAAAATGGAAGGCATGATGGTAGTCCCACACATTCAGTATGTTTCGTTTGGAACAGTGGTAGGGAGGTAAGTTCCTTTTTATACAAAAATGTTACTGAAGAGTGATTATTTGGCATAGAAAACATTTGTTCAAGTCAGTGTGAGACTTCATGGTATAATCTTGACATTCAATAACTCGAGGGGGTTGACTTGCACCGTTGCATGTGACATTGGCTCCAGGGTGAGGATGTAGAGTTGGTTGGAGATTTTACGAGTAACTGGAAAGACAAAATAAGATGCATCCACAAGGGTGGGTCAAGGTATGAGGCTGAAGTTCGCCTTCGGCATGGAAAGTAAGTTGCCACTTGCTTGTTTTCGTGGCTGAGGATATTAAACAGCATCTGTCTATCCCACCATCTTCTGATCTCTTTGCTCCTGATAGTTATCGAGTTAACTGAAACTAACCCCATACTCATTTAGGTACTATTACAAGTTTATAATTGGGGGCCATTGGAGGCATTCGACATCATTGCCTACAGAAACAGACGAACAAGGGAATGCCAACAATGTGATCAGAGTAGGTGACATTGCTCGCATTCGTCCTGCTCCAAGCCAGCTACACATAAAAGTATGTCAACTCAATCCACTGCCTTCAGTGCCTCGATTGAACTTCCGACCTGTCTACTTCTTTGCAATTTAAGCATTCTTTCATGTTTTTGCTGATCAAACCCTATATGAGTTTTTAAGGTAATAATGTGGAAACTTAGTAGAATCTGTAGCTTACTATAGCCAACAATCATGATTGGCATCTATCATGGCAGGACCCAACTGTTGTTAAGGTCATAGAAAGGGCGCTAACAGAGGACGAGCGGTTTTCATTGGCGTTTGCAGCACGCCACATGGCATTTGCAATCTGCCCAATCAGATTGTCCCCAAAGCAGTAGACGTGTCATCCTTTTCTGAGCGGAACCAGGCGTCATCGAGGACCAGCAATTTTCTTAGCTACAGAAAACTCATGTAATGTAGAAAACAGAGGGGCCTTCTTACTGTATGTATCCGTTCACACACAACCTGGAACGTCGATAAGTGGCTCAGCAATGAGCACAATGTACACCTCTGTGTAATTCTATGGACTGTATACCTGAAATGAACTCCATTTTAGACTATAGGACACTCTTGAGAATCTGAGGCCTGCTCGCAAATGGCCAGTGAACAAACTCTGCAATCTACTGCTCTCAGGGGATGGGAGAGATGACTACTTTGCCGGTTGCTCTCCCGGTCTCAAGGTAGGAGAACGCCTCCACAACCTGGGAGAAGGCGAACGGCCCCTCCGGGTCGATGAGCGGCTTCACCTTGCCTGACTCGAGGTACGGGTTGAGCTTCTCCAAGACGGCGCCGTTGGAGGTGACGACGAACCGGAACCCTGGAGGGCTGACGGCGCCGGTGAGGACCACCACGCTGCCGCCTTCCGTCACTACCTTGACAGCCTTGTCACCCTGACCTGAAATGAAACAGTCACGTGTATTTTGTGGTGGCTGCTGGGCATGCATTTGATGATGGTGATCTTATCTTACCGACTGCGTCCAAGACAACATCGTATTTGTCCGGCAGCTCTTCGAAGTTGTCCTTAGTGTAGTCGATGGCGACATCGGCACCCAGGCTCTTGAGCAGCTCGATCTTCTTGGTGCTGGCCGTCGCAGCCACCTTGGACGCGCCGTACACATGCTTCGCTATCTTCATTCCACGTCAAGAGCAGCATTGTGCAAGAAGGTTCAGTTCAGTCTTTACTCTTAGTACGTACCCAACAGTACGTCTAGGTGGAATTCAGACAGCAGCCAGTGTCTGTGCAGTGAAGTTTCAGTGTCTGACACTCCTGATGAGATCTTACCTGGATTGCAAGGGAGCCGACACCGCCGGCGCCACCGAGGACGAGGACGGACTTGCCGGAGGACAGTCCCGCCCTCTCCAGGCCCTCGTTGGCGGTCTGGACGGCGAGCGGCAGGCTGGCGGCCTGCGCGAAGTCGAGGTCCTTGGGCTTGAGCGCCAGCAGCTTCTCCTCGACGGCGGTGTACTCCGCCAGCGAGCCGGACTGCTTCGGCCCCTCCAGCGGCTTCTCGCTGATCATGCCGTACACCTCGTCGCCTTCTTTCAACTTCTTCACCTGGCTGCCCACCTTGACGACCACGCCGGCCACGTCGTACCCCGGCACGGTCTGCAGCAGTGCACAGCATCGATCAGCAAGTTGAGCACTCCCAGAAACAATAAAGAATTTGCAAGACGAGCGAGACGAGGATAGCTGATCATCAGACCGGGAGAGGTGAGTCGGTGGCCTGGAACTTGCCGGCCCGCCGCTTGGCATCGACTGGGTTGAGCGCCGCGGCGACGACCTTGACGAGCACCTGGTCCTCGGCCACGGCCGGCACAGCCGCGGCCTCGTCGAGCTTGAGCACGCTGGCGTCCCCGTACGCGTCGTACACCCAGGCCTTCATCACCCCGGGCACCTCCGTCGCCACCGCAGCCGTGGCCGGGGACGAGGACGCGGATGCCGCCACGCACCGCCCCGACCGGCCAGCAGCCTCCGAAGCTGTTCTCCTAGCGGCGGCGGCGGCGGCGCTGCCCCTCGGCGCCGACGACGGGAGGACGAGCTTCACGGGAGCCTGAGGCGGCTGCGGCAGGAATAAGGACGACCTCGAGTAGGAAGTGACCGGGATCGACGAAGAGAAGAACGCCTGCATTCTTTTTTCGATTCGAGCTCTCGTCTCGGAGCAGGATGAACGTTGCTGGTGCTCTTGAGCTCTGCCAGTGCCAGGTGCTGCTGTGTTGTTGTTGTTATCCGTTTGTGGCCGTCGCCCGTCGGGAGTGGCGGGGAGCGCTCGGGGTGACGAAACTTGTGGCTTGGATGGGCGGACAAGTTGGATCTGGCCAGCGTCGATGGGAAAGTTCGATGAACGTGGACACCGCGCCTGTCCGTTCATGGACTGGGAAGCAGAGATGGGGCTTTGGATCCGGCCTCATAGCTTCAAAGATAATTTTAGGGGCCATAAGTTGATTAATTTCATTTGGAATTCCACACTTAAAACACTATGACCCAACTAGTTCAGCGGGTAGCATTAGTGGGCTTAAATATTTTTCTGATGTCATAGGCTATGAATTGTATCAACACTCTATGAAAAATGAGATAAAAGATTTAAAAGTATCATAACAATACATTAAAGTTATTTGCAATGCATCAAATTAAGTAAGTTTGCAAGTGAACCATGATTTTAATTTTATCTATTTTTCACTTCCGAAATATCATACTACATCTACTTTCAAGTATAGATATGCTTATAAGTCAAGAGCAACTTATTAAAAAAAGGTTGTTATGTGACGAATGGATCCACTTGTATTACCCATCACTACTGCATAATAGCTTTTCTCAAGCCGTCAAATTCGTTTTTCCGAGGCGGATGCCCGCCTCGGACAAAAAGCCTGCGTTGATCATCATTTTCGCAGGCACTAACATCTTTTTCGCAGGCGGTCACTGCGCCCGTTTGTGAAAATAGATTTAAAAAAATAAAAAAGGTAGAAGCCCATCGGTGAGCCCATTTTCGAGCCCACCGGCTCCCAGGACCGCCTCCGCCACCGAATCCGGCCGCACCTCCACCGGATCCACCACCACTCCTCTAGATCTGGCTGTCGAGATCCGCTAGGCGTGCCACCTCCATGCAAGCGTCGCCAGGAGCAGCGGCCCAACCACCGCCTCTGCGCGCATGGCCGCCTCCACCTCTGCGCGAGCGCCTCCAGGTGCTCCAGCCACCATGCCACTTCAAGCTCCAACTGCTGTGCTGCCGCAAGCATGGGCACGGTCGTGGGCCCCAGCCACCACGCCACCACTATAGAGCCACTGGGAGGCGAGACCTCGGGAGGAGCGCCGCTTGGAGGGGAGCCGCTGGGAAGGGCGCTGCCAAGTGGGGCACCACTAGGAGGGCAGGGGCGCCGCTGGGAAGGGAGGGACGCGCTGAGTGGGGCTCCACTAGGAGGGAGGGGCTAGGAGAGAGGCGTAGCTGGAGTTTAGAAATGCAAGGGGCACAGCTGAGACAGGGGCGGGGCTGGAATAGTGGACTAGGGTTTCTCCTAGGTATATATATTCCTAGTCAGTATCGGGCTCATATGGGCTTCCCCAACAGGTAGTGGGCTCAGCCACATTAACACAGGCGAGCCTTTTAAGAGGTCCACCTCCGAAAATGGCCTCCATTTTTGGAGTTAGATATCTTAAAAGGCCTGCTTTCCTAAATTTGTTTTAGGAGGCGGTAATTTTTTGACTGCCTCCATAAATCCATTTTAGGAGGTGGGCAATTTTTGACCACCTCATAAGTAAAATGTCTGCCTCCAAAAATCCTCAGCTTTTTTAGGAGACGGTTGGATTTTTTGACCGCCCCCATTAATGATTGGGCACTGTCTCGTGAAATCATTTAGGTAGTAGTGCATTGTGTCACTAGGTTTCAACTCTATCCATCCATTTTAGACTTTTGAGTACGGACCTTGTGACTCATTGGCCTTACTTTTGTGGGTCGAGTCAATTACTCGGTCATCGTGGCTCATTCCCATCTCTGGGGCTTAGCAAGATAAAATTAGGGAAGAATGGTAGTTTTTCTATGAAATCTACTTATAATGCTTTGACTTCCAATGAAGATGGGCTGCATTTAAGCATAGCTGGAAAAGGGAAAATCCTAGCCAAATTAAAGATCTTTTTGTGGCTAGTTGAGAATAATGCCATCTCAATTGAAGATAATATGCTCAAGAGAAACTGGAAGGGAAGTCCCTCCTATTATTTCTATGATCAAGATGAGAATGCGAAACACTTGTTCTCTTGTTGCATAGCCAAGGTAGTTTGGACTACTATTGCTGTTTGCTTAGGGGCTTCCGATATTCCTAGGTCTTCAATTCAGTGTTGGAGATGGTGCGAGAAGTGGCTTCCTAATGGGAAAACGTTCTATGCAATGGGAATCGCTGCTATCCACTGGGCAACTTGGAAAACTGGAAACAAAACCTAGCCAACTTTGGAGATCACCACAAATAGAGTGGCTTATACACAAAAACATATCCAAACAGAGTCCAAAGTGGTGAAAGATCATAACATCACAACTTTGGAGATCACCACACATACACATGAGAAGGAGAAATGCCAACACCACTCAAAATAGGTCCCAAATAGCAGACTGCAACCTGGCCCATGCTGCATGGCCAGTAGAGAGGCCACCCACCAAAGCTAAGTCCTATCCGGCCTATTACTCTACGTCGTACCTGAACATGGGGGGTGGCCTCTCTACTAGCCTTTTGTGCGTCCAGACCTCGTGACTCATTGACCTTACTTTTGTGGGTCAAGTCAATTACTTTTGTGGCTTTTGCAACATTTTTGGTTGGGACTTAGCAAGGAGTCTGCCCTATACTTGGATCAAGCCACCGGAGGTTTGTTCTCTCATAAGGACACGACAGAAGGAAGAGAAATTTTAAACCCACTTTCTTGAAATCGCTTCCTATGCCGACAATCTTAGTAAACACCTCAATGGTATCATAAAAATAGCGGAAACTTCAATAGCTGAGCCAGAACCCATAGATTCTTCTGCTGAGCCCTCTCTCGAACCATCGGTTAACCCACAACTTCTGGAGGACGAAGAAATTCAACCTTCGGTGTTGCCGTTTGAATTAGAGGAAGATATTTTTGAAGACTTTGGAAACACCTATAATTGTATCGAAATATGCCTTCTTACCCTCACCCGAAACTGATCCCTTGGGAAAACCTTTTTGGGATACAACGGTGAAGGACTTAACTTCAATTCTTAGTGACGAATGGTTGAGGGAAATGGAGGTTTCTCCCAAGGTGTTTCAATTTTGTACACCTTCCTCAACTATTTCATTAGCTAATAAATCTTTTCACTAGGAAGCCCTCTATAACCCCACT